GGTCTATACATACCGAGGGAGTGGGTCCTAACCTTCCTTATACTCGCGATCCCTTTACCAAGCCTACAATACATTCACAACTCCCCGACATTAGCCATTCCATGTATAGCATTCATCTAACTACATATATTAGAATAATAGAAAGAAATCAGTAAAATCAGTAACCTTTTTTGTACATAATCGGATTGCAATATTTCTTAGCTCCATAAAATATTCGTACTATGACCATTGACGCCTTGTATATCGGCCTACAATATTTTTTCCCCAAGGTTGAAAAATACTGTACTAATGCATATCAAAGTTTCAATATTTCCCCCCAAGGCTGAAAAACACTATACTAATGCATACAAAGTTTCTGTCACGCGAATGATTCTTACCCTTTAACAGTACAGCTAAACGATAACTACCAGTTAACTGACTACATCAATCTTTTCACGGTCTAGATAAATAGCATTCGACTGCAAGAATTGAGGTTACTAATGGCCATGCGGAGTCCAGGAAACCATGTGGTGGCTGCAGGATACTGTCAGCACGCACAGACGTCGGTGGCACTTGTTTTCGAGTTTGCTGACGTCGAACTCGCCAACATTTTCATCAAAGACTACCAGGGCTGCTCTGTGCGGGGCACTTTTCACAGGTTAGTGGTGGTTCAGTGATGCGGTTCACTTTTGGAGGAATCTTTCTCTGGAAACAAAGTCTTTGGTTTTGACAGGATAGTATGAATCGGGAGGTAGAGAGGGAGAGAAGGAGAAAGAAACGACGAAGGGGAGAAAGAAAAGGAGAAAGAGAGAAACAACGAGGGGGAGAAAGGGAGGGAGGGGGAAGAAGAGAGGGAGAAAAGGAGGAATGGAGGGAAAGATATACAGGGAGGGAGGGAGAGAAGGACAAAGGAAGGGACGCAGGGAGGTAAGAGGGGGAAGTGAGGGATGAAGGGATGAAGGGATGAAGGGATGATGGGATGAAGGATGGAGAGAGAGAGAGAGAGAGAGAGAGAGAGAGAGAGAGAGAGAGAGAGAGAGAGAAAGAGAGAGAGAGAGAGAGAGAGAGGTTCACATGTACCTGTAGACATTTTACAACTTATTTACAATCAGCCTTTTGCTTGCCACAGAGAGGACATCCAGCCTAAGTCTCCTCCGCGCCGTACTTCTGTCGAACTGTCCAAACACCCTTCGCTGAGTGGTGTATGTGCTGCCCCAGCTAACTCTCAAGAAAAACTTCGTGAGACGGCCATCTCGAAACCGCCAATCCCTCCGAGAACCCGTATGTATTGCCAAGAAAAGCCCGCTGTACCTTCCAGAAACAGCGTTGTAGGCGGTACATATAAGCCCACTCTTCCTCGGAGAGATAGTGGAGTTGAGCAGATCTCGCCAATTGCAGCCACAGCCAAGCCACCTCTCCCTCAAAGAATAAGTGACACTACATCCAAAATTCCTCCACCTCTCCCTCGCAGAGGCGCCAAAGTCGCCGAGATCTGTGAAGCGGTCGCAAGTTCCAGGGACACTGATTCCAAAATTCCTCCACCTCTCCCTCGCAGAGCCACTGAAGCCCCCGAGAACTGTGACGCGGCCGGTAGTTCCAAATCTCACAGCCCCAGATTCCACATGCTTAATCCCTTTTCAAAGAAAGAACGAAAGGGAGAAGAATCACCGGAGGGCCAAAACCAAGGAAAGAAAGGATTATTCTTGAGAAAAAATATCAAATATGAAAATGTGGAGTTTCAGGTTGAGAAAAAGATTGAAACGGTAACACCTTCTCCCATTGATGATAAAGAGTTTGCAGACTACGAATTCCCAGATAGTGACGATGATAGCTATGGAAATTTTTACGGATCTTTTGACCGAAGCGTTGAGGATTCAGAACGCATCTTTTGTCATGAGACGGTTCCTCACGCTGAGGAGAAGGATAAGCAGACAAGTTCACAGGCGGATCGTATCAATTACTTCCTGACACATGAGTACAATTACCTGACCTCCCTAAGTTATATAAAAGCTGCCAGGACACTGTCTCCAGAGCTGCAGCCTCTTCTGCGCGGCGTAGACACACTAGAAGAATTACACCATGATTTGTACAGAGAACTATATTCATCATGCCAGTCTTACTCATCGATCGCACAAGCATTACTCTCGCGACGGGAACAATTGGAGTCCTACAAATACCACATGATGAATGGTCCTCTGATCTACGCAGCATTGGCAAAGGTACCGGAAACCAAGCTTAAAGATCATCCGAACCTGAAGGACTCCCTGAGAATATCGTGGAAAAGACTTCACTTCTATTTCATGAGTCTGGAAGAGTTTCTGGCTAGTGCTCCAGAAGGTGACAAAGGCGTCATGCAAGAAGCCGTGGCGATGCTCAGGGAGTTGCACGCCCTCGGAGACAGTGCCATCCTCATTGATGGCGTGAAGGGTACTCCTTTCGACCTGCACATTAAAGGACCGTTGCTACTCCACGGCTCCTTCAAGATCAAAGGGCCAGAGATGCAGAAGAAGGATTACCGTGCCCTCCTTTTCGCAGAAATGCTCGTTATCACCCTCCCTGAAGGTTGGACCTCCAGGTATCAGTGTAGCCTACGCATCGACCAACTAATCCCCATTTCCCAGAAAAGCGATTCAGTTTCGTCGTTTACTGTGCAAGTGAGTGATGGAGGAGGGAAAGGGAAGCTTTATGTCTTCACAGCACGTGACGAAAAGACGAAAGAAAAGTGGTTTAATGAAATAACGAAGCTTGCTGCTAAAATCGCAGACGAAGTGAAAAGGGAGTTTGAAAAGCGCTATGGTATGAAGCCTCAGGCCTGAGATAATGTTTGCATTTTCATGTGTAAAAAAAAAAAAAGATACACTCAATGACAATTACTCAGCAATAAAGAAAATAATAGTAGCGATAAAACTTTAAATGCTGAATATGTTGGTCATTTTGCGTTTTAGTGTTTTATTCACTTAAATTTGTTATATTATACGACTTGTTCATGTGGCCCCAATTCATGCCTCAGCATCTATTGATGTGGCAGGATTGGTGACTTCCCTTAATGATTCACAACTGCTACTTAGCCAATGTTTTTTTTTCTTTTTTTGTGGTGGGAAATATGTAAATGGGTCAAATTTCTCTATACCAGTTTCTATTTCTTATAATCCTCATAACATAATGTTTAAATTAATCTGTTCAAACCCAGTGATCAAAATAGTTACCATATTAGAAGGGAAAAATCCCGGATTGATGTGTACCAATACCATGCTAGGATTTCTTGCAGCATACTTTAGCAGAAAATATAATCTTTTAATAGTTACAACCATGCTTAACTGCTCATAGTAAATTTTTGAGTTTCTTTTATCTCCTTTACCATTCCTGTGCAAACCTGTCTGCAACAACTAAACGTGATTCCTGCACCTGGAAGGCAACCTTTCAAGTGCAATGTCGCTTTTCAAATTTATTTACTTATCTGCTTATGGAGATACTGACCGTTATACCATACTGCATAATTCTGCAACAAAATACATTCTATTATATTTTAGTTTCTTAGTGTTATTTTCCAAACATTCTTTTATCCATTAGTTTTGGATGCCATCATAATTATGTATTGATCAAATACAAGTTTTCTCTGGAGATAGAGATACTTGGTTCAGTGGTAATGAAAGGTAATGAATATGAAAAAAAAAAGAAAAATAATGTTCAAGGAAGGAGATTAAAACTTCCAAGAGTGTTCTGTCTTATTTTAGTGTACATAAACACTCAACTTCTCAGCCGTTTTCTTTACAAATAGTTTATATACATTCTGTGAGCATGGGGACCTTCCACAGTTACAAAACACATACATATTCGCCTGTTTACAGTCATACACACAATCAGCTGCTCATATATATATGTTTATACATGCATACAACATACATATACATACATATACATATATAAAACTTCCCTCTGTATATTACATATATTAAATCCTTCAGTATACTAAGTATGCTTTTCTCAAAGAAAGAATAAAAAAATTGAAACTTCATGAAATCAACTTTATGAAATAATTTCACCATGTCTTGCCTACTGTGCATTAAAATATTATAATAATATGACATAAGATTAGCATACAAAAGACACGGGAGTTTAATCCTCAGTAAATTCAACACTTCATAATAAAGGTTTCATGGGAGGTTGTAACACACAACCAATATTGCAGTGTTAATAGGAGACAGGTATATAATAAAAGCAAGATCACTCGATCCAGTCTAGTGATCCTCCAGAATTTTTAAACAGAGTTTTCTTCATAAAGTATATGGGATATTAACATAGATGCATTTCTACTCACTTTCCCCTCTGTCAGACAAGGGCATTACAATTTTCTGAAAATCCTCAATCACCCTTACACGTTCCACACCTGAGTTAAATCACACTTGTCTTGGTAAAACGGTTGCATCACCTGAGCTTCTTTCTCTAACTTATTTCCTTTCCAAGATGAAAAAATTAGAATTGAAAAAAGAAGACAAAAAAAAGTTAAATCGAACATTACAATTCTGAAGGACATATCTAAGAAGTCTTTTACATGGAATATTTTGTTATATTACTTTTATTATAAATTACATATATTTGTTTATCTCTATATAATGCATGAGCTGCTATCTTAAAAAAAAAAAAAAAAAAAAAAAAAAAAAAAAAAAAAAAAAAAAATCTTCATGTCAGGAATCCAGCAATGAATAAAAAAAGGTGTAAAAAAAATGAATAAAAAGAAGGCAAGCAGAAAAAATTGGAAATGCTGCAAAGACTTCTCAAAATATGACAGTACTATTGTTGGTGTATTTCACCTTTGGCCCAATGAATTTCCAATACCAGCCTAAAATCTGACTTTATACATCTTGCAAAGTGTCACACAAGTTATATACAAGTGTCGCTTCCAAAGACAATTGTAATTCAGATTAACCTTTCTTAATTTAAAAAAGTTATAGAATAATAAAATAAAAACAGCAACATTGATGCTTGAAAATTCTTATCATGTTTACTGCAGTCACAGAACAGTCAGATGGTTTCATTGTTTTACCAACAAACCAAGTCTAGATTGGACCACTCCTTTTCCTTGACAATAAAATAAAAATATATATATAAATAAGATTAAGGATGATGAAAATGATAATAATAATAATAATGTATTGAATAATAATTAGTAAATTAATCAATCCATATAAAATAGTAAATGAACAAAAGACCTGATAAGACTCTTTTTGTATTCACATTTTGCAGTGTCACAATTAACTATTTTCACATTTGGAGGCCACAAAATACTTTGCATGAAAGTTAACAGATATCATGGCTCCTTGTCACCTAGAAAATGTCTGTTACACAAATATTTTCACCCAGCAGAAAGGAAAAATGACGACCAGATTTTAAAATTCTTTCTGAATTAGTTCAGCAAATGTAAGGAGTATGTATCTAGCTATTCAATGTATTGTTCATACTTCATATTTTACTTTGAGAAAAAAGGTTACTCAAAGGTCTATAGCTAAGCTCATTTATAAGAGTTGAAATAATATATGGTCTGTAATATTACACAGAAAATGAAGAAAACTATCTCAGGACTAGAGGTTTTACTGCATTACATTTGCATGTGGAAGATAGATGCAAACATAAGTATTCAAAAAAATGTTCTTAATGTATAACTTTTGTAACAACTGATCCCTAAAAACTGCCAGGATTGTTACCATCTATTTGATTTAAGCTGCCAGCAAATACTAATAACTAGAGAAGAAACAAGGAAGAGAGAATCCAATCTGAATGGGTTGTGTTTCAGATTGAAGTCACATACCAAAACTATAGTAACAATGATGAAAGTTATCTCTGTGGAGCAGACTTTTGTGTTAATGTTAAAAATCTGAATTGATGGATTCTCCAACATGTGAAGATTATTTAAAGCCACAATATTTATAAATATATTTTACTGCATTTGGCAGAGAATGGTAACCTTTCCCACTGTGGATGGTTTCAATTTAAGAATTATTACATATTAATAGCTGCTGGAGACTGAGCTAAAGTAGAGCCCATTATATGTGAGTAACAGCCATTTTCTGGTAAATGGAACTTTCATGAACAAGATATATATATATTCTTTTCTCATTACCAGGTCTATATATTTGGTGCAACATTTCATACTTTGGGAAGGCACCAGTACTAAAGAAAAAAAAATCATACCACAACAAAGCATCAGTAATACTAATTAGCTAATATTCACAGACAGGAATGTTAAGTATATGGCCACAAAGGCATAACAGTATGGGACTTCACCTCTGCAGGTGCTCACATTACAAGTACTATAAACAAGGAATCAGGCATATTGCATATGCTTTTAGAAGACATCTGTACATACACAGTATGTTGATACATAACAAGTATGCATATATTCATAACTATCATTATAAATAGAAGGCAAATACAGTAACAAAATTCTTGACTTCATGCATAAAAAATTGAGTCTGACACACTGGCCTTTGTGTCTTGATTAACATGACAGTCTCCGTCAACCCCTCAATCTGTGCATGGTAATGTACTTGGTAACTACTGCATATACATAAGGATTCTCACACTCAGATATTTTTTTAAATAGATAATTACCTAGGACTCCTCTAGATAACATAGCACCATACACAAAAAGAGGCCAACCTGACATGACTGATGTAGGATGGCTAAAGCCCTGAAATGGGTAACACAGTTCGCGCGGTCAAGACTGCTCAACAGATCAACTCCCCCTCTCATGGCACGATTGCTTTTGATAAACAGGTTCATTTGTCTCCCTGTTCCTGTTTGCCATTACATGACATTTAAGAGAACATTTACACCTAGGGATAAAAAATATAAAAATAGGACCCAACACTCTACACTGCTTACGAGAGAAGAAAAGGGCCACTACCCTCATGTTGTGACTATCAGAAGGACATGTGAAATAAACGTACTAGTCATAACAAAAGGACATAGAGTAATTATGTTATTTTGTCCATTAAAAGCTGATAACTATGTTATGTTCTTTTACTGCAAGGCTAACCCAATGACTTGAAAATGTCAGTGATTGGCACAACCACAACCAGTCTTTCAATTAGTTATATTAGCCAGTGAGATATATCCAACTCGTAAGTGTTCAAGGTAACCATTTCTGTCTTGCTGTTTAGGGAATATGCATATCCAATGCATACACTTCAGGCAAAATACTCAAAAATCTTGAACTTAAACTGTAACTGAGTTATACAGATGTACTGAATACATTTTTCTTCTTTCATTTTCTTTTTACTTTTCATTTCATTTATATACGCTGTATAGCATTTTCATCAAACTCAGGTTACTGCAATGCCACAAGAAGATATCTTATATACATTATCACAGGGGTCTAGTCATTTTATAACTAGAGTATGAATTCTTGCATTACTAACACTGACTCATCTCTGTTCTTCAAATTGTCAAGAATTCTTTCACAAAAAGGGGTAGTTAGGCTTAAGCACTCACTTAAAAAAAAACTTCAAACATTTCAACTAGTATAAATCTATAATTCATGTATCAGGCCTAACAAACCCCTTACTTCTCTGAAACACACACACACTTTTCCAAGAAGAATTGAACAAAAAGGTTTTCAAATTTTTCCTTGATCAACACAGTTCACAGTGCAAAATGTAACAGTTCAGTAGTCAAGATGAATGAGTTTATTCTGTTATAAAACTATCCTAGAAACTGTTTCATTGACCATGGAACTTAAAATATATACTCCACAACCAATAGTTCATAGCTTGGGATATGTGAATGTAATAATCATAAATCCATATTTTTTTCCTGACAATCTTCATGCAAAAGTTAGATAACAAAAATTTAAGTATACAACCTAGATATTGCTATGTAAGCTTTGTTAGTAAAATATATATAAATATAAGTGAAAACTAATGGATAAAATGGAAAAATGGTATGTATATAAATAATGCATGTGTTTTTTTTATAAATAATTATGCAACTTTGTGTGTGTGTGTGTGTGTGTGTGTGTGTGTGTGTGTGTGTGTGTGTGTGTGTGTGTGTGTGTGTGTGTGTGTGTGTGTGTGTGTGTGTGTGTGTGTGTGTGTGTGTGTGTGTGTGTTCCTATATATTTTCTCTCTCTATTTTCCTTTTCCCAAACACATTTAACAGCCAGGAAGGTATGCTATCGAAGACCCTTGAGTATATCACAAGATTCCATAAAAAAAAAACTTACAAAAGAAAGATTGGCAACTCATATATATATATACACACATATATATATATATATTAACAATCTAAAAATCTATGGACTGGATAATGCTGAAAGTAATATAAATGCTGTCTAATATCTCTTCCATTTCCTTTGTTTGGAAGCAGATGCGGGCAGTGGGAACGAAGTACTGTTGGGCAAGGCGTTCAGCACTGAGGCAATACGGTTGCCCCTGCCGCACCATTAATTCATTCTTGCTTCGTCTAACTGATAAATCTGAAGATCTTTATTTCTTTTCCAACTTTTAATCTCTATGTATAGCTTTTCTGGGGGGCGCAGAAATCACTGACTGTATATGTTTATATGTTTTTCTTTTTTTAGTTGAATCAGTTCAGACCACCTCTGTTATCTTAATTCACATTTCATGATATGAACGCATTTCAAATGTATAATCGCAAATGGAACATAATTTTCCTAATCCTTCTTCACGCTATTTTAGCCGGTGGAGGAATCTGAGCATGAGGTATGTTAGAAGTCTTGCTGATAACATGAACATAATAAGGATCGTTGTGTTGAGCCACAGAGGCAGAGTCTGTCCTCTTTCGTCCAGGATCTCTGACACTTCAATATAACTTTTGTTGAAGCCGCAGCTCTTGAATCTTGAGTTTTCCAACGAGCAACTGTGGGAAGAGGTTTTCGTCTAAGTGATGATTGTATGATTGTTTTAACATATAATTTTGTATTAACATGAAAATATTCTTATTTATCACAATCAAAAATAATTTTATTTCGCCTACTGATAAACATATATAGATATCAAGATCTTTATCAGTATTTCAATGCAAATTTGCAATTTCAGAAGGATAATAGTAGTTATAGGTAAAAAATATAATAACAATAGTAATGCTTTTACCTGACTGGAGTTCCATCCGAAAACTCTATAATATTCATGTTTTGGAAGGCATAATGGACCATTGAAAGGTATTTAGCCCAGCTGAGCCAGGGGGGAATCTTGTTAGCTAAGTAACCCCCAAATAACTGCGAGAAGAGTGTAAACAACGCAGACACTGTGATGCCTACTTGTAAGTCCATGCATATGGCTCCTATGAGGAGACCCATACTCTGTGGGAAAAAAAAAAAAAAATAATATATATATATATATATATGATGACATCCAAAATTGGGCACTAGCATACAGACAGAAAATAGGCTAAGATATTTTGGATTATAACACAATTTCAATTAAGATTCAAATCTTTAAAGTGAAAGAGAGAGAAAAAAAAAAAAGTGAGAAAAAACTTACCTGAGCAACTAAGGTATTGAGAAGGAGCACAATGAGATGTTTGATGAATGTTAAGACATGTGTCCCTCCCATCATGGGATAGGATATGAGCATGTAGAACGTGGGCAATGTGAAGGTTAACGGCAACTCCCCCACCATCTTGGCAAGGTAGTATGCACTAACCCGGTATGATCCACTTGCCCGTTCCTTCATTATAACTTCTCTCTCACTTGGGACTGAAAATTAACATAAATTTAATATATATGATATAGTTTTTGTAATTATAAGTGCAGTGGATACATGCCCTAGTACATTATTGAAACTGCATAATGAGTAGTTTATGTTTCTGTATTTCATACATAATATCATGTAAAACACTATCCTAAAATAAAGTACAACAAGGACAGCACTTAAGAATCTGACATTGTGCCTTACGTATCCATTTATTACATATTCTGTGACTTCCATTCCAACTTACAAGACTGGAGAGCAGCAAAGAGCATGAACAGCATCCAATAGGTTGTGGAGAAGAACATCCAGCCTTGGATATCGTGCAGAGCCTCTTCTGTGCGTGGTGCTTGGAACCACAGTAGACCAGCTATTAACGCTAAACCTAGTGTTTGGATCCAGTGGAGTCGAGAAAGGATGAATGGACGAGCCACACAGAAGTTCCTTTGAGTAAGTACCTGAAAGTAAGTGATTTGTTAATAACTAAACTTACTATCTCTCTGTTCAATCAAGTGACTAACTGTAAATGATTTGTGAATTTCTATATTTCACTCTTTTCTCTTTCACTTTTCAAACTGAATGGTGAACAACAGCTTTGATATTCACAAAATATGTGGAAACTTTAATACTGATCTGAAACTTTTACCAGCTACTCACTTTGAACTGTGTGAGGAAGGAAGTTGGCCACTGCCTGTCTACATATTCCTCACTTGATGAACTAGACGCTGAGGCTTCACTCTCTGTCTCTTCTGACCACGAAGATCTCCCACTATCCTCTTCCTCACCTGTAACCAAAGCAAGAATATGAGCAAACGTTAACAGTACACTCCATAAACTTTTCCATCATCACCACAATAAGATTCAAAAATCAAATATCAAAAGAACATAAGCAACTGGAACAAATCAATGCGAACTTTCCCTACCCATTTTAGTAAAGACTGATGTCTCCTTCTTGCTTCCAGTAATTGTGACTGACACCTCTGCTGGACACTTTGCATGGTAACCCTGGTCTTGGCAATTGCAATCCTCATCCCATGGACATTCCTCCCCTTCTACACCTGTGAATGAAAAGTATGTTGACAAATCCCTTGTGACATAATATGAAACCACTTAAAAGTAAAACTAGAAAAGGTACTTTCTCTATAACTACAGAGCAAATGTTATACTCTCTCAGAATATCAGATTTATTATATTCCTCACAAAAGTAAACAAATAAACAAGTAAAAAAAATAGAAAGGCAATAACCTTACCTGTAGTTGTATGACCATCTTGTAATGATAAGTACTTGCTGTAGAGTGAGTGGATGGAAGGCGAGGTTTGAATAGTAATGTTTTGCGACAAGTTGAAGGTAGTTCCTCGTTCAGGACAATTGGCACCCTGAATAACTCTTTCTTGTACTTCTGGTGAACCTTTTACAACTTCCACTAAAAAGAAAAAGGAGATATCGTATAACAATGATAAATGGATATAACATTAATTCACAGTAAATCCATACATATATATATAAATATACATATTTATATATCTACATTTCTGTATCTATATATATATCTATATCTATATCCATCAATCTACTTACTTATCTATCTATCTATCTATCTATCTACGTGTGTGCATAGTGTGCCTGTGTGTGTGTGTGTGTGTGTGTGTGTGTGTGTGTGTGTGTGTGTGTGTGTGTGTGTGTGTGTGTGTGTGTGTGTGTGTGTGTGTGTGTGTGTGTGTGTGTGTGTGAGAGTGAGTGAGTGTGTGAGTGAGTGTATGAGTGAGTGTGTGAGTGAGTGAGTGAGTGAGTGAGTGTGTGTATGTGTGTATGTGTGTATGTGTGTGTGTGTGTGTGTGTGTGTGGTGTGTGTGTGTGTGTGTGTGTGTGTGTGTGTGTGTGTGTGTGTGTGTGTGTGTGTGTGGTGTGTGTGTGTGTGTGTGTGTGTGTGTGTGTGTGTGTGTGTGTGTGTGTGTGTGTGTGTGTGTGGGTGGTGGGTGGGTGGGCGTGTGCAAGTTACATAGGTGTGTGTAGATGTATAATAAATTATCAAATATAAAAAATCAGAACTTACATATGAAGTCTGCAGGGTTGTAGTGAGGAGCAATTGGTAATCCTATTCTTGAAAAATGTTCAACAACTTTTCTTGTGTCCCCAAAGTAAGCATTCTGTCAAAAAATTATGAAATTTAATTAGGAACCATCTCACAGAAAAACAAGTAACATATACTCCAAACCTAGTTATACTCTCCAACTAAGACAAGGGATAATATTCAAATTGAATTATTACATTTAAAAAATCAATGAGTATTCAAGAATAGATAAATTTTATGTACAATTGTAAAAAATTATAGCCACAGCACCATAATTAAGAACTTTTTAAAATATTCTTCTTGAATTTAAATGAATTCACAAATTTACCTGTCCATTGCAGAGGAGGAGCAAGCTGTCAAGCATGTAAAAGATTTGTGAAGAGGGCTGGTGAAGAGTCAAAATAACTGTTTTGTTCTCTTTCTCGGCAAACTGTTTAAGTGTTGTAATTAGATTATAGGCTGTGCTGGAGTCTAGGCCAGAAGTAGGTTCCTGCAGTAAGAAAAAGATGTTTAAAATTGATGTAGATTCGATAATATACCGAATCCTAAATGTAGTTATGTTTAATTCTCTAAGAGCATTTAAAACACAAAAAATTCTCGTTTTAAATCACATTTGCTGAACGTATCTAAAAGTGTGCTATATTATGATCCTTTTTTCCTTGACAAAAATTAAGATTCAAATTTGTAAAAAGACTCACATCTAGAAGCATAATGGAAGGGTTGGTAAGAAGTTCACAGGCAA